AGTTGCGAGCTCTCTCCGTGGGGGCCAGCAATTCGCCCCCAATAATCAGCGATGGCGTCAACTGACTATATTGGGACGTCGGAAACCACAGCCACTCGGTCTTGGATGGGTTGAACCTGAGCCTGTTTCTCCCCATCCAGATCCGCACGGCTTCCAGACACCAGGACATCACTTCAAGGGCATTGTTGGGGTGGTCCGGGGTGGAGATGTACAGCTGAGTATCGTCAGCGTATTGATGGTACTTCACCCCGAAACTACGGATGATCTCGCCCAGTGGCTTTTCATAAACGTTGAACAGAAGGGGCGAGAGGACCGACCCTTGTGGCACCCCACATATGAGGCACCTCGGGGTCAACCTCTGCCCCCCTGCCAACACAGATTGCAACCGGTCGGAGAGAAAGGAGGAGAACCACTGCAATACAGTGCCCTCCACCCCTAACTCTTCCAACCGGTGCAGCATGATACCATGGTCGATGGTATCAAAAGCCGCTGAGAGATCTAATAGGACCAGGACAGAGGAGCAACCTCTGTCCCGAGCCCTCCAGAGATCATCAACCAACGCGACCAATGCCGTTTCCGTGCTGTACCCAGGTCTGAAGCCCGACTGGAACAGATCCAGATACACCGTTTCATCCAGGTGCTGGGGGAGCTGTCGCGCAACCACACTCTCAACAACTTTCGCCACAAAATGAAGGTTGGAGACCGGACGATAATTAGACAACACTGCCGGGTCCAGGGAAGGCTTCTTGAGGAGAAGCCTCACCACCGCCTCTTTCAAGGCGGCGAGGAAGTCACCCTCACCCAACGAAGCATTTATAATCCCCTGGAGCCAGCCTCGCATCACCTCCCGGGAAGCCAGCACTAACCAGGAGGGGCACGGGTCCAATAAACAGGTGGTCACATTCAGTCTGCCCAGAATCCTGTCCACGTCCTCAGGGGTCACAGGATCAAACTCATCCCAGATAACATTCTCAAGACCTGCCCCAGTCCCTCCCCCTGAGACTACCCAGTCAGAGTCCAAATCTTCCCGGATCTGAGTGATTTTGTCATACAGATACTGAACAAAATCCTTGGCTCTACCCTCCAAGGGGTCCTCCCGCGCTTCCTGGTGGAGCAGGGAGCGGATCACCCTAAACAGGGCGGCCGGGCGGTTATCTGATGAGGCAATAAGAGCAGCAAAATAGCTACATCTCGCTGCTTTTATCGCCACTAGGTAATTCCTAATATGAGCTCTTACCAGTGTCCAGTCCGATTCTGAAAGACTGGCCCTCCAACTACTCTCTAGGCATCTTTTCCGGCACTTCAACTCCCTCAGCTCCTCAGTGAACCAAGGAGCCAAATGAGATTGGCACCGGGTCAGAGGCCGTAAAGGCACGACCCAATCCAAAGCTCCAGCGGCCGCCCTATCCCAGGCGGCAACTAGGTCTCCAGCCGAAGCGTGTGCCAGAGCCTCAGGAAATGGCCCAAGCTCCATCTGGAACCTGTCAGGTTCCATCAGGCGCCTGGGGCGGAACCATTTTTGTATTTTTTATCTTACTTATTACTTTTCCTTACTTTCCTTACACTGCTTTTCTCTTCAAATTTGTTTTTATTCATTTTAAAAAATTCTTTAATACAAATTATATACAAAATATGTAATGTACACAACATGCAAAAAGGACCAACAAGGCCAAAAGATCACAACCAAAAAAAGCATGTAAATTTGTACCAAAGTAATCCAAGTAAATAGTTTTGGGAAGAAGGATTTTGAGATAAATATCAGTAATAATAGGTGAACAGTTGAATGAAAGAAAAGAGAACAAAGTCAGAATTAAGACTGTTTAGTATAGTGATTAAGACAATGGTATATAAACCAGGAAACTGTGAGTTCCAGGCCTGCCTTAGGCATGAAAGCTGGTTGGACGATTTTGGCTAGTCATTCTCTCTCGTGGCAGAGTACAGGGTGATGTCAGGTCCTGCCAGTTCCTGCCATCAAAGGCTGGAGGATGATGGTGAACAAATGGGCAATATGATTGTGTGTATGTGATGGGAAATAGGGAATGGGGAATAACAGGTGATGAAGACCAGAGAAACCCAGAACTGGTACCAAGGCCATGCAACCTGGGAAAAGAATGTGAATTGTCCACAATATTTCAGTGTTCTCATACCATATTAGCGAGCTCCGATTGGCAAAACAAAGACTGGTCACAGGGGGAAGGAAGAAGGGAATCTTTTCTGTATCTTTTTTGTGCGGGAAAACCTTAGAGCTAGCTTAATGTTAGACCTTCCCTAATCTGACTCCATTAGGTTGAAGCAAAAGGTTCTTTTACTAGAAGAGTTAGTTGCAGTAAAGTCAGGCTAGCTCAAATGCACAGAAGTGCGGGGGAAGAGAAGAATTGAAGCATAAGCAAGCATGACAGGGCAGGAAAAGCAGGAGGTTGTCGCCTAACGTTGGTATGGTCCTTGCTTAACAAATGCAATCAGGACTATCAAAACTGCCATCTCTAAGCACTGTGGTATGTGATATATTGCCTACTGACCACTTTGCTTAGTGACAGAAAATCTAATTCCAATTAGGGTCTTTCAGCGAGAACTATCTGTACAGTGTAAGGGGAATGACAACAATGACAGATTATTAAAAAGTACTTATAAAACAAGTTCCAGCAGAAGTTATTAAGAAACATTTATATTTAATATAGATTTAAAACCTGAAGTATTTCTGTTGGGCATTATACCAGACAAATGCAGTAAAAGGAATGCATATTTAATAATGCATGTGTTAACAGTGGCCAGAATCATGTTCGCACAACATTGGAAGGGCGAGGAGATCCCCACAGAAGAAAAGATAATAACAAAAATTTTAGAATGTGCAGAAATGAATAAACTAACATTTGAAATTAAAAGAAAAGGAAGACACTGAATATTTTGAGGTATGGGATCTGCTTTATCAATGGTTAGATAAGAGAAACGTGAGTTAGAACTTCTAAAATTACAAGAAAAAGAATAATTTTATTATTAGGGTTGATTACTGTAACTTATTAATTTTGATTAATATTAACAATTAATATGTATTAATATTATAAGGGAAAAACACTGTTATTATGAGATTACTATTAGAGAATACTATTATTATTACTATGATGAATATTACTCAAAAGAATTGTAGCCAGACAACACACTGTCTATATGGATTTTGAACATGTTGCTCTTTCTATTTATATTAATAAAAAAAGCATTTATGTTTAAAACAGGAAGCTAGTCAGTTGTCAGATTTAGTTCAAGAATACAACTACCGTATTTTCCGGCGTATAAGACGACTGGGCGTATAAGACGACCCCCAAATTTTCCTGTTAAAATATAGGGTTTGGGCTATACTCGCCGTATAAGACTACCCCTCTTCCAACGCACACCAAATAAAAATTAAAAAACATCAACTGGCTCACCCACAATGTAAAAGCAGCTGTGCTAGACCCAAAATGGCCCCTGCAACAAGCAGGAACCTCACACAGCCACAAAAAGCCCCCAAAAAAACAACTTTCACACTTTACACACACAAAATTCCACATACAGCTTTGTGAGATTTTGTGTGTTTGTGTAGTTAGAGTGAAACACTACAGAAACACACTAAATCTCAGAAAGCTGCACAAATATTATTTTATTTTATTTTTATTTTTATATGAAAGCTAAATTTAAAACTTCCTAAACTTTAAATGGCTAGGTCTAAAAAAGAACAACTAAAAAAAACCCCAATTAACTATTTTTTTTAAAGCTCCCAAAGGGGAAAAAAACTTACCCAATAGAACAGGGGTCTCCAACCTTGGCAACTTTAAGACTTGTAGACTTCAAATCCCAGAATTCCTCAGCCAGCTTTGTTTTGCTGGGTGAGGAATTCTGGGAGTTGAAGTCCACAACTCCCTGCCTGCTTGATTGCAGGCAGGGAGTGGCTTGCTGATGGAATGGATTCAGGCAAGCGAAGCAAGGCAAGCGTTGCGACTAGCAGCTAAGGTAAGCAAGCTGGAGGGGGGAAACTTTTTTCCTTTTACATGGCTCTGGCGATCCCAGCTGAGTTGCCTGATTAGCAGGCAACTCAGCTGGGATCGTCAGAGCTTGGATCGCCAGAGCCATTTAAGGCTCGTCAGAGCCTTTTGGGCTGGTCTGCCTGGTTACAGGAGAACGACACCCGGCGTATAAGACGACCCCCGACTTTTTAGAAGATTTTCATGTGTTAAAAAGTCGTCTTATACGCCGGAAAATACGGTAATAGAGAGTTTTGTACATAATTTCTTCTTCTTTTATTTTTCTGGTATTTTATTATCCAATATCCAGAGTTCTTTGGAGTTAGGCATTTGTAAACCTTGTAACTAAATAGAAAACTCCATTTTAAGTAAAAGAGTTATTGGCCCTGTGATCCTGAAGAGCTGCCTCCTGGAAAGAAAGCAATTACTTTAGCTTTTGAGGATTCAATAGGTAAAACTGAGTTATATTTTCAGAATGCTATCCATCTAAAATGTCTCCTAAAAAAGAAGGCAAAGTACAACACTTGCAGATAAATATCTATTAGCTCTTCTAAGAATGACTAGCTCCTACAAGTTCTTGTTGTTTTCGCTCCAGGACTTCTTCCTCCCAACAATTTAATTTATTACATGTGGATTGTGCCTATAGGTTCCTTGGTTATAAATTTCTTGGTCTGCTGCCCAATTCATGTCATAACAATACTGGAAAGCTTCTAACACTCTTTTCCAAAAGATAGCAACGGAGAACTGAAATTTTCATTCCTCCCACATTTACTTGAAGCAACAGAAAGCAGAAGAATTCCAGCATTTTCAGTGGCATCCTTTTTCAAAAATGACTAATTCGAGATATGTGACTGTAGCCACCACTTGGCCTTATGTTATTATAAACCATTGGCTAAATGGATAGATACCCAAAAACACTTACACATGAACATATAAAGAATTCTACCCTATTTTTCATGTTATTCGTTTTGTCCCACACAAAAAAGAGCAAATTGTTTCACCTACCTGCACAGCCAAAAGCAAGATGATACCTGGATGAAGGGCTGAATTTTACACAACACACATTTGCCTTGGCCTCAATGCTTGCTACTGAATTGTCCAGGTTGGTTGACCATAGCTTCACTAAGGAAAGATAAAAGAAACACCAGCAAAATGGGTAGATTAAGCTGCAATTGCTTTTCTGGGATTTTCACATGAAATATTTTTTCCTTTTATTGTTTCATTGCTAAATAGAAATATAGCAATAGGAAGCAATGCCTACATGTGGATCTCATGCTATCTTCACTAATCCACAATGGATTAGTGAAGACTTCTTACAAAAAAATAAATAAACGACATGATGACATCATCAGCCACATCCTCTGCACTCCATACAGGGAAGAAAGACACAAGACAAGAGATTCTAAACTATTTTGGGACATAATGCAATAAACCAACATGTGGCCTTAATATAAAACCAAAGCACAAGAGACTTATTGTTAATTGCTGCTGAGTTTTGTTTAATAGTTTTGAGTTTTATTCTTCTAGAAAATATTACACACTAGCAACATTTTTGAATTAAGTCATTTTCTTTCAACCTTCAAACTTTTTTAGTTTAATGTTTACTCAAAACTTAGTCACCTTTCCTATTAGCTGATCTAAATTGATAAAAAAAGAAAATAGACAGTCTGATAAATTTTTCCCAAACCCTTTTCAATGACAGTTCCAAAAGCAATCAGATTTTTTTTTTTACAATATGGTAGACGTCAAGTTCTTTTTCTGCACAAATCAATAGTCAGAACCCTTTTATATAAAAACAGTCTATTTATCTTTTTATTACTATTCATAAAATGGTTGTTTGATTATAGTGACAATTATTTTGCCCACTTCTTATATTTCAAATTTCGAAAACATGGCATGATGCTATGATTACTGTATAAGTACAGAACTGAACATTCAGAAAATGACTGCTTTAGTGTCATAACTATTCATAAAATAGAAATAATGGAACTGGGTGTATAAAAGCAAGTTAAAGAGATACTTTGTTGTGACTGCAATACAATTTCACACACAAAGCTTAAACACATATTTGGGAAAGAAGTTGCATTGAACCCATTTCCTCTGAAATTTAAACTTTCAAAAGTCATAATGATGACTGGCATATTTAATTTTGTTTTAGTACTAACTTTCATTAGGCTATGATTAAAGCATGAAACAAAGAGGAAGTCATTGGGGCTAAAGAAGACAAGAACGTGAACTCATATTTCCATGTGGCTTGAAAGTATGTAACTTAATTTATTACATCAAGGATCCTACACATCTATTTTATTATCAAAAGGTTTTATATATGATATTTGTGCTTAGAGAGCCAGTGTTGTGTAGTTGTCAGAGACTCGGGTTCCAATCCTTCTATAGACATAGAAACCAGTTGGATGACTGGGGCTCATGACTTCTTCTCAGCCTAAATCAACATCAAGATCTGCAATAAGCTAACTAATAAACAAAAAAACCCTATAGAATTGAAAGCCACTGTGAAGTAGTAGCTAAGGTGCTGAAATAGAAGTGGTAAAATCCAAGTTTTCTCTTATGTCTAGAAACCAAATGGGTGACCTTGTCACTGTCTTTCAGAGTCAGGCTTTGCAACAAGCCAGCTGGTAAATAAAACTCCTCACTAAATGATAATAAGAACCAGATACAGTTAAAAAAAGACAAGTAGACACTGCAGCTATTAATTCAGCTGTGGCATAGTGATGGTGGGGGGGGGGGGAGCAATACCTTTTGCATCATCAGAACCTGAAGCCAAGAGTTTAGGATCCATCAAGTTAAAGTCCACACTCCAGCATCTTTTTTCATGCTCCTGTTTGTCATGGGGAACAGAAATAGTATGATAGAAAATTACTTCTTCAATATAATCAAGGTAATGATGAAATACATAGAACTTTGGTTAAATTTTTATTGATAAAACTTTACTATTTTTCTTCTACCTAATATAACTGATTGTACTGTTTGATAGCAGCCTCGGCAAGGACACAAAGAGAGCTATCTTGATACTTAGTTAATTTTTTAAAAAATTACATTTTGAAGACCTTACATTACTCTTACAACGGTATAGTTTCAACTTGCTAGTAATCCCTTATGGAATTTCTGAAGAGGCAACTGCTAAATTTCACCTCTAAAAACAAATTAGCCACTTAGTAGGATGTACAAGCAGTATGTTTCGCTACAGATTCGGTTCTCAGAAGAACTTTATTTAATTAGCACATCCGTTTCAGTATCTCTAGTCTCCTTAAATGTGAATCCACATATGCTGGAGTTTCTAATTTAGAATTAGAGATTTTAAAGTCAGTTTTTTTTTAAAAAAAAAATCAGTTTAATAACTTCTATTACCCAGATTTCAATTAGAAGCAAATTAAAACTTTTTGAGAAAACAAGAATCTGAATGTTGTCTCCAAGCTAGAATTCTAAGCAAGCCTATTGGCTTGTACAAGGTCTTTTACTCCTATATTTTTATTTGGATAATCTACTAACAATTGATTTAGTGAATTAAATATTTCAAACTCTGGACAGGGCAACTGGGATATAAATTATTGCAATAGTTTATTTGAATAACAAATTTAAAAAATTCTACTGAAACATTAAATACATAAATTTCCTCATAATCCTAAACAATATCCCACTCTATACTGTTGAGCCTCCTTTTCCATCAACTAATTCCTGATTCTAAATGCTTTGTCCACTGCAAAGTTTTCATTTTCAGTACTTTAGTAGCAACCGTTCTGTCAATATCAAAAACCATTAAAAACCCTGTTTTCTCTAAGCCATATATTTTTTTTAAAAAAAAAATATGAAAGTGATTCTGGGTGCAAAGACATCTAATGAGTTATGATTTTTAGCATTCACAAATAAAGCTTATAAATCACCACATGCTTTCAATAAATGATCTCTTGTATTGTTATTTCTGTTCCTTGACGTAAATCTACCGTGTTTCCCTGAAAATAAGACCCTGTCTGATATTTTTTTGAACCCTGAAATAAGTGCTTGGACTTACTGCCATGCGCTCAAAAGCCCGATTGGGCTTATTATTAGGGGATGTCTTATTTTGGAGGAAACAGGGTAGCAGCTAGTCATTTTAAACAAGAATTTAATAAGAATTTTTCAACAAAAATGTTAACAAGTTTTCCTTTGATCCATGATGAAACAGTTAAAAAGGACATCAATTGAAAGCAACATACCACTGGACAGATTTATCACATGTAAATATCAATGGTCCTGGCATCTGCAATGCCAAACCATAAAGCAAATGATTAATGACACTCATCTTCAATGAGCTATGGTGCAGTGGTTAGAATGAAAGCAGTTTGGCAATTCAATTCTCACCGGCTCAAGGTTGACTCAGCCTTCCATCCTTTCGAGCTGGGTAAAATGAAGACCCAGATTGTTGGGGGCAATATGCTGATTCTATAAATTGCCTAGGTAAAGGTCAAGGTTTCCCTCGCACATATGTGCTAGTCATTCCCGACTCTAGGGAACGTATACATATATAATACTATTTTGTTCATTTCCTATACACACAAGAACACATTTACCCATTTTTTCTTTTACATCCAACGTCCCTCTCTGTTTTGCACACATGTACATGCACACCACTTATTCTCTCATACTCATTTATTTGTCATAGAGGCCAAATTGTCTCATCTGCAATCATTTTCTCTTAACTCTATTTCTTGGTAATATTTTTGATCTTGATTTTGATTTGATTTTGATCAAATTCCCCATAACAAAACCAGCATTTCTTTACCTGATAGACTTTTGAACGTTGCCCTGTGAATCCATCCCATAAGATCACTGTTCCTTCATAGTCACTGCTGGCCAAAAGGTTTTTGTGGTAACTACTCCAGCTGATACAGCTGAAAAAGAGAGGTAATACAAATACATTTTATTCTACAACTATGGATATTGTAAATTAGATAATGTAATAATTCAGACTACTTTATGCATCTCCTGCAGATTTGTTTTCATACTCCTGATTATTATTATTATTATATTATTACGCATCATCTGCAGATTTGCTAGTTTCATACCCCTGGTTATTATTTAGGTCAAAATTCTAAATTCAAATGGAATAAAGCTAAATAAAGCTAAATTTATCGGTGTCACTAGACCTTATTATATCAAGAAACATATATTTAAGAAGTTTAAGTTGAAAGTATTCTTTCTTTGTTAGCGGTTGTAAGAGAGAGCCTTATTCAACCGACTGGAAGAGGTCATCTGAATTCCAATACCAAAAAATGGAGACTTAATAGAGTGTGCAAACTATTATACAATATTCTTAATTTCACATATTAGGAAAATAATGCTTAGGATCATCTAATGTGGATTACAACCCTACATAGAAAAGAAGATGCCAGATGTTCAAATTGGCTTAGGAAAAGACTAAGGAATATTATGCTGATGCATGCTGAGTAACTGAAAATGAAAAAAATACCAAAAAGAAATCAGTTTGTACTCCATTGATTATAAAAAGGCCTGACTGTGTCCATTACATCAAGATGTGTAATATGTTCAGAAAACAGGGATGCTAACATCACATTGTCTTCATAAGAAACTTATATACAGGTGAAGAAAGCATGGTAAGGACAGAACATCGCAAAACAGACTTGTTCCAGGTTGGCAAAGGAATGTGAGAAATTTGCGTAGTCTCCTTTTATTTATTCAACATAAATGCTGAATATACATATTAAGGGAGGCTTGACTGGAAGAACATTGCTTTAAAATTGGGGAAAGTAACATCAGTAACCTATGCTATACTGATGATATTACCTTGATAGCCAAAACTGCAAAGGATCTGCAAACTCTAATAATAAAAGACAAAAGGCACAGTTTAAAAAGGAACTAAAATTAAATGTAAAGAAGACCAAATCAATGATAATAGGTAGAACCACCAGTCTTAGAATTTACAAATTCTACAAAGATACTGAAGTGGGGATAGCTTCTGCCTTTTCACATCAAGCATCAACAGTAAAAGAACAAGCCATCAAAAATGTATTTCAAGTTAGCACTTGGTAGAAGAGCTACAAAGGCTCAGGAAAAGATACTCAAATGGCATCCCATGGACGCAAAAACTGGACTTTGAAGCAGTCGGATAGGAAGATCATTAATGCTTTTGAACTTAGATATTGGAGAAGACTCTTGACAATACCATGGCAGTACCGTGGATCAGCAAGCAAATTAACTCAGAATTCTTGCTCAAGGAACAAATGACCAGACTCAAATCATCCTACTTTGATACATTAGGTGAAAAATCCAGCCCTCTGGAAAAGTTCTAATGCTGGGATAGGCAGAAGGAAAGAGAAGAAGAGAATGACCAGCAAAAAGGTGGATGGACTCCATTTCAATGACATTGGAAGACCTGAAAGACCATGTTAGTGATAGATTATCATGGAGAAAATTTAACTATATGGTCAGAAAGAACTGAAAATGACTTAACGACACATAATCAATTTTCTTAAATGTAAATATATTTGAAATGTATGCCCTATTTGTCATTATATTTCAATCAACCATTGAATTTGATATAAATTCCTGTTTTAGATGTCAACAGAACAAATTTAATGGCCTAATGACGTTTTTCTATTCTGCACTAAAGCACAAGGCTTTGAATAGTCATTAGGGCTTACAGAATGTAGAGTATGGCATCTTCAGTTTTAACTAGTTTAGAGCAGAGAAACCCATACCAGTATGGTGCAAAACCTATTCATTAGTACCTTCCAAATCTATTTTTCCATTCTATACTATTTCAACATGTCCTACTCTATAAGGCATGTATCAAAAATAATTTATTCTTAGCTGAACCTATCTGTTATTTTATCTACATTGCTATTTCACTCATTCCAGATCACTGCAGGAGGGATTTTAGAATTCCAGTGACTAAATGTTCCTATAATAAAATGTGCCATTACTTCCTTGAAGGTACAGTTGCAAGAAAAAGTATGTGAACCCCTTGGGATTACGTGGAGTTTTGCATGAATTGGTCATAAAATGTGCTCTGAACTTCATCTAAGTCACAACAATAGAAAAACACAGTCTGCTTAAAATAATACTAAACAAACATTAGATGTTGCCCTGGTTTAATTGAACATAACATGTAAACATTCACAGTGCAGGGAGGAAAAAGTATGTGAACCTTTGGACTTAATAACTGGTTGACCCTCCTTTGGCAGCAATAACCTCAACCAAACGTTTCCTGTAGTTGCAGATCAGACCTGCACAACGATCTGGAGTAATTTTGGACCACTCCTCTTCACAAAACTGTTTTAGTTGGGATGTCTGGTGTGAATCGCTCTCTTAAGGTCATGCCACAGCATTTCAATCGGATTGAGGTCAGGACTCTGACTGGGCCACTCCAGAAGGCATATTCTGTGCTGTTGAAGCCATTTTTTTTGTTGAATTACTTGTATGCTTTGGGTCATTGTCCTGTTTTGTTTTGTTTTTAAATTTGATTTATATGCCGCCCTCCTCCGGAGACTCAGGGCGGCTTACAATGCATTAAGCAATAGCCTTCATACTTTTGTATATTTTTATATAAAGTCAACTTATTGCCCCCACAAGCTGGGTCCTCATTTAACCTACCTTAGAAAGGATGGAAGGCTAAGTCAACCTTGAGCCTGGTGAGATTCGAATTTACAGTAATTGCAGACAGCTGGTGTTAATCACAATGCTTTTAGTCTGCAGAGCCACCAGGCCCCTGTTGCATCACCCATCCTCTGTGGAGCTTCAGTTGGCGGACAGATGGTCGTACGTTTTCCTGCAAAATGTCTTGATAAACTCTGGAATTCATTTTCCCATCAATGACAACAATCTGTCCAGGCCCTGAGGCAGCAAAGCAGCCCCAAACCATGATGCTCCCTCCACCCTGTTTTACAGTGGGAATGAGGTTTTGATGTTGGTGTGCTGTGCCTTTTTTTCTCCACACATAGTGTTGTGTGTTCTTCCCAAACAACTCAAGTTTGGTTTCAGCTGTCCACAGTATATTTTGCCAGTAGTGCTGTGGAACATCCAGGTGCTCTTTTGAAAACTTCAAACGTGCTGCAATATTTTTTTTGGACAGCAATGGCTTCCTCCGTGGTGTCCTCCCATGTACTCCATTCTTGTTTAATGTTTTCCTTATTGTAGATGTGTCAACAAAAATGTTAGCATGTGCCAGAGATTTCTGTAGGTCTTTAGCTGACACTCTAGGATTCTTCTTTACCTCATGAAGCATTCTGCACTGTGCTCTTGCAGTCATTTTTACAGGACGACCACGCCTAGAGAGAGTAGCAGCAGTGCTAAACTTTCTCCATTTGTAGACATTCTGTCTTACCGTGGACACATGAACATCAAGGCTTTTGGAGATACTTTTGTAACCCTTTCCAGCTTCATGCAAGTCAACAATTCTTGATCGTAGGTCTTCTGAGAGCTCTTTTCTGCGAGGCATGGTTCACATCAGACAGTGCTTCTTGAAACCAGTAAACCCAAAACAGGTGTGTGTTTTAAAGGGCAGGACAGCTGTCAGCAACACATCCAATAACATCACACTGATTGGAGTCAAGGTTGGTCACTCCTGACTCCAATTAGCTCTTGGAGAAGTCATTAGGCTAGAAGCTCACATACTTTTTCCTCCCTGCACTGTGAATGTTTACATGTTATGTTCAATTAAACCAGTGTTTCCCAAACTTGACCCTTTGAAGATGTATGGACTTCAACTCCCAAAATTCCTCAACCAGGCAAACTGGTTGGGGAATTCTGGGAATTGAAGTCCATGCATCTTAAAATAGCCAAGTTTGGGAAACACTGAATTAAACCATGGCAACATCTAATGTTTGTGTATTATTTTAAGCAGACTGTGTTTTTCTATTGTTGTGACTTAGATGAAGTTCAGAGCACATTTTATGACCAATTCATGAAAAATTCCACGTAATCCCAAGGGGTGCACATACTTTTTCTTGCAACTGTACAGTATGTAATACATATTTATCACTGTGTTCCCTTTCAAGATAAGCAACTATATGTAGAGCATAGCAAAAAAGAAACAGGCAATAAGCCAACAAAATTAAAGGCATGAGATAAAAAAAAGTAGATACAGCTAAATGCAGTTTACATCAATACAATTCACTATACTTCTTTGTTTCTTTTTATTCTTGAAATTGGTATTTGCTTCCACCATATTCATATAGTTTTCAATGACCTGCTGAAGAGCAAAAAACCTGATCTATACACTTCCTGCCTAGCATAAAACTGTAAGCGATTTTGGATCACCTCTATGTTTGTTATCTACAGGCAGTTCTCAACTTATGACTAGTCATTTGACAATCATTTGAAGTAAGAACATGCTCAGAAAGGATGCTTTGCAGCAGGGGTTCATTTGGAATTGGACTGCTGAAGTGGCGGATAACATTGTGCACATAGTGCATTTGTGCCCACCACTCAGCGGAAAAAATCCCCCCTCCCCTTCCTCCCCTGCCAGTCCGTAAAGCCAGAAAGGTTGAGGAACTCTGCTTTACAGCACAAAAATCATTTCTGGCTGTTGTAAAATATTTCACCACCACCTCACCTGCAGCCACATGACTGCATTTTGGATGCTTGGAGACCTGTTTTGACTGGTTGCCAAGCACCCCACAATCAGGTGATTTCCATTTGCAATCTTCTCTGCCAGTTTCTCCAAAAAAAATCAATGAGGAAAGGAAGTTTGCAAGCTACTGCCACCTGCTGAGTGGGCATTCTCCTAACTTTGGGGGCTGACTGAAAGAGCTGCTGGGCTGCAGAAACAGGATTCACAGAGGCATTCTCTTCTGTGCATGGAAAACACTGAGAAGCCAATGAATGCCATTATTCTGAAGGCTACAAAAAGATTTGTATCCTTTAGAATGAT